GTTTAAGTTTATTAGTCTTTCGAATATATTTTGATATAAAATATATTTAAGAAATTTGTCTACAGATTCATTAAAAAGTTCCGACCATCTAAAGAAGCGTTTGTGAGCCAAATCTATTTAAAATATTTTAAAACTATCAACAGCGCTACGATTTTGTTCTCAGAGATCGCGCCAACAGAGTATTGGGGATTTTCTTTCACAAGTAAAACCAGCTTTTCGAGCTTGTGTTTAGTATTCACGATGTTAGAACTGCATGGAATTAATAAAAATTGTTTAAAATTAGTGCCTAGCCGCCAAAATGTAAGAAAACATATACAAAATAATACATTTTTCACAATTTTCTAACACTTCGCTACACCATCGAAAGCAAAATTGTGTTCGACAGAAAATTCGATACTCAACGAAAATTTCGACACGCTTGCATAGCTCATAATACGAATTTCACTTTCGATCTTCGATAGTCAGCGATGATCGAAAATCGAATGCAGCTCATAATAAGGGCCAATATGTTGGAGTAGTTTCGTGCTACTCTGATGTAATGCAGAGATGGAGTATATGGTCCTACCCTAGGACATCCCAATGTTAATTGGACCATATTTTTTATATGAATTGTGGTTAACTTTGGAGTACTCTTTGGCCCTTAGGGAATACTCTTTACATGCATGCATGGAGTAGCCGCGATTTTTGCAGGGGTAGACTGCTCAGCGATAATTTTCTTCGATATGTGGTTAGTTATTTTTGTTGAGCGCTGTGTTGCCTGATCAACACAATTGTTTCTAGTAGTGTTGTCACCGCTACACAACCACAGTTCAATTTATCAAATTAATCCAACGTTTTTAGTCTGACTTTATACACGGCAAACCTACCAAAAGTTACCAAAATAAAAAAAAAGTTACCTAGGACTCAAAAAATTACCTATTTTGGTCACAAGTGACCAAATGTGGCAGCCGTGACCGGCTGTCGTGGGAACGATATGAGCGTACATAAAATAAAATGTCGTACATGCACTCGGTTTTGATCGCCAGTGTATGTGTGCGGTTGAAGTGAAACCTTCATATAATTAAAATACTTACGAGAGAATGAGACGAATGCGTTTGTTTGTTGTAATACTTCTGTTCGTTTACCATTTCCAGTAAAATCCAGTAAAAGTTTTTACGGATTTTCGTGCAAGTTTTTAGTGGATCTTTACTGGATAAATTTTTACTTGTCAGTACGAAAAACAACTGATCGCATCTTGCTGGATGCAATTTAAACTAATAAGGAAACTGTTTGTGGGTTTTTATTGTTGAAATTGACAAAATAAACCTATTTAAATATAAAATATATTATTTTATTAGGAGTTTGCTGCGAATAAACAACCAATTTATCAGCTGTTCACGAAACTTGCAAATTATATACTGGATTTGCGTTTGCGTTGTTTTTTGGTTATTTTTTCGATGAGGGCGAATTCTTAGAAATTAAGTTACTGGAGAGTTTCTGGCAACCCAACGGGACTGAAAGTTAGCTGCTCCCCAAAGCAGAAAGTATGGAGCAGCACAAAAGCAAAGTAAAAAATTAATTTTAAAATTTCTAACAATGCGCAGAAATAAATATCATTTTGAGTAGTAACCAAGGTGTATTAAACAAAGTGTGATTGACAACTTAGGTCCTATTATGCCAAAAAATATAAACAAGCGGTTCAAAATTCATAAACAATTTTTTCACTTTGACTTTATATTTAGGATGGTTCTTCTGAGAGAAATGTTATTTTCAATCACACTTTGTTGAATACATTTTGGTAGTAACCCACTAGAACTTGAAGGAATTAAAGAGTCCTCCCTTTGGCCTGATTTCGGAGCAACAGGAGAGACTTGTCGGGTTTGACCTCCTTTATAACTCGCTTAGGAGTCAAATCGGAGATCTCCTAAGTGAGCAACAAAAGAATACTCCCAGAGGCATGATTTTGGAGCAGTAAACGATTTTTGTCGATTTTGTACTCCTTTATTACTCGTTTATTAGCTAAACGGGAGATCTTCAAAGTAAGAAATAAAAGAATACTCCCTGAAGCATTATTTCGGAGCAATAACTGAGATTCG